CCTCCAAGCTTTGGGGGTGGGAGGAGGCAGCAGAGCGAGGGACTGAGGGACGGCGGCAACTGAGGCGGCGGCGGCTGAGGCAGAGCTGGGAAGGGGGGTTTCCAGGGGACACGGCAGCTCCTCGAAAGGCTTCTCTCAGCTGCGCTCAATCCGCCTCGGAGAGGATTTCCCCTCCGGTCCCATGCGTTCGTTTGGGGCATCGCTCCGGCTGCTCCCTCCCGCCGCGCAGGAGCGATGCCTCTCTCTGGCTCTCCCTCCGGCAGGCTGAGGGAGGGAGGGGCGCGTGTGACCCGTCTCTGCTGGGAGACCAAACCCAGCGAGGCAGAGTCGCGCGGAGGCGCCCAGGCAGCGCTGCCGGCTGCAAGGAGGAGCGCCAGGCAGCAGCAGGAGGCGCGGCCTCTCCTCGCCGCCGCCGCCCCGCCTCTCGCCGCCCGACTCGCCCGCCTCCCTCCAGGCATCTCGCGGCACACGAGGCAACGTCTCACGGCACACTCGTGTGCCGCGGAACACCGGTTGGGAAACACTGGGTTAGAGCATGTCGCTGATAAAGCCAAGGGGTCTGATTGCCATTTGGGCCACCTGCTTCTTCCTGCCTTGGACGAGATGACCAGTGGGGGGGTCCCCTTCCAAGTGCTCAATTCTACGACCCAACAAACAGTTCTTTATTTTTTATTTTGTAGGATTTTTATTAAGTTTTTCTATTTTACATTTTAGAATACAGGTCGGGTACCTCGGGTTAAGTACTTCATTCGTTCGCGGAGGTCTGTTCTTAACCTGAAACTGTTCTTAACCTGAAGCACCACTTTAGCTAATGGAGCCTCCTGCTGCCGCTGGAGCCCGATTTTCTGTTCTTATCCTGAAGCAAAGTTCTTAACCCTGATAGCACCTATTTCTGGGTTACGGAGTCTGTAACCTGAAGCGTTATGTAACACTGAAGCGTATGTAACCCGAGGTACCACTGTATTCTTTTAAACCACCTTAAACCAGCGGCTTCCCTTCTTCTCTCTTTCTCATTTACATACCACAAGGTAAAGGTAAAGGTACCCCTGCCGTACGGCCAGTCTTGCCAAGACTCTAAGGGTTGTGCGCTCATCTCACATCTAGAGGCCGGGAGCCAGCGCTGTCCGCAGACACTTCCGGGTCACGTGGCCAGCGTGACAAGTCTGCATCTGGTGAGCCCAGCGCAGCACACGGGAAACGCCGTTTACCTTCCCGCTGGTAAGTCGGTCCCTATTTCTCTACTTGCACCCAGGGGTGCTTTCGAACTGCTAGGTTGGCAGGCGCTGGGACCGAACGACGGGAGCGCACCCCGCCGCGGGGATTCGAACCGCCAACCTTTCGATCGGCAAGTCCTAGGCGCTGAGGCTTTAACCCACAGCGCCAGGGACGCGGACTTATAAAAAATATTGGGGGGGGGGGCGCCCGGGAAAGCTCATGAATAATAAATAAGCTCATGAATATGCAAATAAAGTGGCGCCGCCTCCTCGTGAGCGAATAGGGGAGAGCGTGCTGCGCCTATTAATCAGCTCCAAAGGAAATTGGGTGGAGCTTTTGCTCGGGAGGGAGGGCAGGAGGCATGCAGCCCGCCCCTCCCTGTGCATTTTGGGCTGGGGGAGGGGCGGCGATGGCGCTCTGCTGGAGGGGCGCCGGAGATTATTGGGGGGGCGGAGCCCCCCAAACGAATTTTTCAGGGGGCTCGGGCCCCCTCAAGCCCCATGGAGTCGGCGCCTATGCACAGCGCCACCCGTGTCCCTTTTACATACCACAAATCCCTGCCTATTTTATATACGTGAAACCATTCAGTGTTGCATCCCTCAAAACTGATCTACACCGTTGAATTTATCATCTCAGTGCTGCCAGCGGGTTTTTTTAGAAATGCACACATCTTTTCACCCATGCAAGCATTTCCCGTTCTTCTTTTAAACGTGCTTTTATTTCTTTACCTGCTGCACGCTCGCCGCCCTCATGTACGAGGCCAGCACCAACAACAGAGGCACGTGGACGTTCTTCCCGACGAGCAAGGGAGGACCTGAGCGAGACCAAAGAGGGAGAAAGAAAAGAAATAAAAAGGAAAAGCAAAATAGGAAAATGCCGGGGGGGGGGGAGTGAGAGAGAGAGAGCGAAAAAGTTATTGCCACGTTACTCAACAGCTCGGAAAGCCAAGCAAGAATAAAACCCCGAAAGGCGAAGGCTGCTCTCCGGAGATTACCGCTGGGCGACGAGGCGAAGGCGAGGAGATCCCTCAGGATCTGGACGAGGGTCTCGATCTGCTTCCCTTCCTGGACATTCTTCAGGCGGACGATGAGCTTCTGGAGAGCCGCTTCCCTCTCCTCCTCCTCGTCGCCCCGGCAGCTCCTGCTGCTCCCCCTCCGGCCTCCGCTCATGTCTCCCTCGGCGGCCACAAACTTTCCCTCAGCGAGAGCAGCTCGGAGGGATCCCCCCTCACAAACCCCGCAGCCCCGCGGCAGGCTCCCTCCTGCCCGCTCGGCCGCGACGGAAGGAGTGGCGGCGGCGGAGGGAGCCGGCAGTGCGCGCCCCATGCCCGTAGATGGCGCTTTCGTTGCGGCCGTTTGCCCCGCCGGGCTCGAGGCGGGGAAGGAAAAAGAGGCGGGAAATGAGCTCGGCCGGCCTGGCGGCTTTCGCTTTCCCGAGCCTCGTCAAGGGGAGGGAAGCGGGAGGAGGCGCCGAAAACGAAAGCGAGGGAGCGGGGAAAGGGATTTTTTACGGAGGGAGATGGCTGGGCAGCTCGGGGTGAGGGGGATGGGGGCGGCGAAGTGCCCCTGGCCCGCGCAAAAAAAAGGCGGCTCTCCTGAGGGCGGGATACGGGGGAAATGGCGACCTCATGGCGTGGTTGTGTGAGGCGGGAGGAAAAGGCGGTTTCGAGGCGCCCTCCCGCCTCAGAGTTTTGGTTTTCCAGAAAATTTAGTCGTTTTCTCTTATAACGCATAGACAAAAACACAAAAGAAAAACATTACATTTGACACAACATAAAAAATTATCAACAATAAAAACAGACAAAATAAAAGAAGAATTTTTTCTTCTTATTCCCTGGTGTATTTACATTGCTAAAAGGCTTCCCCGACACCCTCCAATCTGGATTTCATATTACATATTTAGCAGTTCCCAATTTCATATTTATAACATAAATATAACAAACTTCATAACAAACTTCTCAAGCTTACTTCCAATTGTCATCCATAATAATTTTTATTATTAACCTTTTTCTATCCCTTAGCCTAATCTGTTACTTCAAAGGGATTTCCTAATTATCTTATATTACAGTATCTCACTAAATATTCTTTAAATTTCTTCCAGTCTTCTTGTGTTTCCTCTTTCTGGTCGAGGATTCTTCCAGTCAGGTCAGCCAGCTCCAAAAAGTCCATCTTCATCTGCCATTCTTCTAATGTCAGTATTTCTTGCAATTTCCAATTTTTGGCTAATAAAAGTCTTGCTGCTGTAGTGGCATACAAAAACAGTCTAACATCCTTCTTGGGCAGTTCCGGTCCTGTTATTCCAAGTAGAAAGGCTTCTGGTTTCTTAATAAATGTATTTTTCAACATTTTTTAAAAATTCATTATAAATCTTTTCCCAAAAGTCTTTCACATTGGGACACGTCCACCACATATGAAAAAAGTGCCTTCTTTCTCTTTACATTTCCAACATAAGTTATCATTAGTGTGGTAATGAGTTGACGAAGGCGGTCATAGCGGGTATCCCTGCCTTCATTCTTCTTTGTATATTATTACTATTATTATTAATTTCCTTTCCTTCAAAAGGCTGTTGTCTTTTGCGCCAAATTCTCTCTCTCTCTATATATATATATACACTTTTCAGATTTATACATTTCATTCATTTTACAATCATTCTAACATTTCAAAGCTTGACTTCCCCATCTTTCTGCAGTTCCTTAAATTTGTTTTTTAATACCTTCTGCATATCCAAATTCATTTAATTTGCTCGTTTAATTATCTGCTTTACATATGCGCTCTTAATGAAACTGCAGGTTGTTACAATAGTCCTGCCAATGTTTTTATCAGTTTGCAATTCATCTGTAAATATTCAATAAACCATTTCCATTCTTTATAAAAAGTTGGTTATCTTGATTTTTGATTTTTCCAGTAAGTTTAGCCATTTCTGTATATTCCATAAGTTTTTATATCCAGTCTTCCTTTGCTGGGACTTCTTTCCATTTTGTGCCAAATTGTCAGCAAGTGCCTCTTATCTGAGGGGAAGGCAACCATTGGGAAACCCAGCTTAAAATGATAGTAGGCTGTTGCCAAAATTTGACGAGAATGAAGCTGAGGGAAGTGGGGTTTTTGGATGGTAGTACAAAGGAGGACATGGCCAGTTTGACACTCATAATAATAATAATAATAATAATAATAATAATAATAATAATTTATTTATACCCTGCCCATTGATACCCACTCTGGGTGGCACACAGCACCTAAAAGAATCATAAAACATTAGACATTAAAAACTCCCCTAAACATTGTTGCCTTCAAATGTCTTCTAAAAGTCAAAACAAAAAAAATTCCTTCCAGTAGCACCTTAAAGACCAACTAAGTTAGTTCTTGGTATGAGCTTTCGTGTGCATGCACACTTCTTCAGATACCAAAAGTCAGATAGTTTATTTCCTTGACATCTGATGGGACGGCGTTCCACAGGGCGGATGCCACCACCGAGAAGGCCCTCTACCTCGCAGCGAGGGAACCGCCAGAAGGCCCTACCATGTCTTCCAACATTTCTCTGGTGAAAATAGGGATTTCCATAATAATCATTTTACTGTTTATACCCCATGCATCTAACTGACTTAGCCCAGCCACTTTGGGCAGCTTCCAACATATATAAAAACATAATAAAACATTTTTTTAAAAAACACACCATATACAGGGCTGCCTTCAGATGGCTGCAGGGGTCAGATAACTCCATACCCTCCAACATTTCACCCGTGAAACTCGGCCAAAAAAGTGAGATGAGCGCCACAACCCCAGAGTTGGCCACGACTGGACCTAATGGTCAGGGGTCCCTTTACCTTTAAGGAAAAAGTGGGACGTTCCAGGATCAAATCAGAAACTGGGAGTGACTTCTGTAAATCCAGGACTGTCCCTGAAAAATAGGGACACTTGGAGGGTCTGACATACATCTATCCTGAGTGTTAGATGGATAAATATTTATTTTGCACTTTGATATCAGATTACATATCATTCCACGAGAGAGAGTTGAAAGGTAAAGGGACCCCGGACCATTAGGTCCAGTCATGGCCGACTCTGGGGTTGCGGCGCTCATCTCACTTTATTGGCCAAGGGAGCCAGCGTACAGCTTCCGGGTAATGTGGCCAGCATGACTAAACTGCTTCTGGCAAACCAGAGCAGCGCACAGAAACGCCGTTTACCTTCCTGCCAGAGCGGTACCTATTTATCTACTTGCACTTTGACGTGCTTTTCAAACTGCTAGGTTGGCAGGAGCATGGATTACCCCGATGCATAGATTCGAACCGCCAACCTTCTGATCGGAAAGTCCTAGGCATTACCCTTTTTCATTTTCTGATGTCCTTATGCAAAAACTATCCCAGAAAAGGGACTGAATTCAGTCTTCAGTGGACAGTGTCTACCCATCTAATGATTTATTTTTTATGCTTGCTCTAAGGTCAGCTTATCAGTAGAACAAATACTTCACATTAAACATCCAGCTGTAGCAGATACCAGAAGTTTTCTGGTAAATATATCAGAGGGCTCATGACACAGTAAAATGTGACTCATAGCAATCCCTGTAAACCCATAGCTTGTTCAGCTGTTCCCCACCCATGTATATACTGAATGAGGAAACAGAATTACATCACCTCCTCTTCCCTCCCATCTGCAAATTTTGGTATAAAATTTGCACACACAACTGTTTTAAAGTGGCCAGATGTCCTACTGTACAGAGGACAATCCTCTTTTTAAAGATGTTCTCGGTTTAAAGGCCTTTCCAGTCCCAGCTTAGGACCAAAAAAAGAGCAGACGTCTTGAAGTTGCCAATCAAACAAAACCCAGACAGCAGATAGAAATGCAAGATATGTACTTGACTATTTAAATTATAGCATTTATTTCTAAATGTGCATATATGTATGTATGTTAGCAAATGTATGCACATTTTCAGCAAATCTGTGTTCCCCTTGTCCTTGTTGAAAACAAATGGGAGTGGATGTGGTCCTGCTCCCCCCCCCCCAATTATCCTCTGCCTTCCTTCAGGTGGTGGTCTTAATAATATTATTTATTTATTTATTTATACCCCGCCCATCTGACTGGGTTTCCCCAGCCACTCTGGGCGGGTTCCAGCAGAATATTAAAATACAATGATTCATCACTGTCCCCATTGTGTTGAAAAGGCTTTGGGAATTGTGGTTCCTCTTTCCATGCACAGTGGGCCTGCAATACAGTGCAAAAATTATGGGGAAATGTTATTTTCATTGACAGCAGCACAACTGGCCGTTGCTCGTCCCTGGAAAGGCAAATCAGCGCCACTAATTATGTATGGCTATCAGGGGCATGTCAAAAGGGGATAAGGTGTTTGAGATTTAGTTTCTGTTCTTTTTCATGAGTAAGGGACAACATACTCTCAAAGTCTCTATCTGAAATTTCATGCATATCAGTTAATATCTCAACCCTGCTCCACTGAATTGAAATTTCAGCCTTCACGACATAGGAAAACAGCCAAGTAAACAGCTATTTTCATGGAGGAGGGTCAGTATATTAACTGATATGCATGAAATTTCATATATAGCTATATAATCCCTACTGTAGTAAGATAAGACCTTCGCAGCAGGCATTTTTAAAAAAGGTTTTTATGAACCGCCCTAGTAGGGCAGTAATTGTTCCTTGATAAAGGAACAATTCCCCCATGATGGCACCTGGGGCGCCCCCCCCCCTTCCTACACCCCGTGCGACCATTCAAATGTACGCGTTATGCTGCACTCTAATAACAACATATTCTGAAGTGAATATCACATTCGCACATACAGAGGCCGTGCATTTTCCCGCTACTACCCTAGTCTTCTATCTTACCAGTCACACTTAATTTACTTTATTTAATTATATGTAATTATGAGAAGTCAAGTTATGCTGGACAACGGGTGCATTCAGGAAAGAAGACAAGGAACACATTATGTAGATGTTACTGAGCTTCTCTGCTTTTCCAGAATCGCAGGATAATATTTAAATACCTTTCTCCTGGGCCTTCTAACAATTACAATGTATTTCAGTGCGTAACTCTAGTCTCCTGTTCCCCGGGGGTTGGTGAACCTACTAATTATACATGGGGTGACTTTTGAAAAGCCTTTGGAAGTTTCAGCTGGTTTAGAACGTGGCATCCAGGCTGCTGACAAAGCCTTGTTCATGTTCAAAGTTGTCAGATCTTTAAGTTGAAATCATTTATGCATACTTACCTGGTAGTAAACTCCATTGAACACAGTGGAACTTACCTACAAGTAAACATTTATTTTATATTTTATATTCTCATTTTGTATTTTTATGCTGTGAACCATGATGAAGGATGGGGTATTACAAATATCATCATCATCATCATCAGTACAATGCTTAAGTTGGTTACTAGTTCCCAATACCTTATTTGTGGGAAAGTTCAAAAACACACCTGAATCAGTGTGTGTGTGTGTGTGTGTGCATTCTTGTGCATGTCTGTTGAGACATCTGTCTTCAACAGCACTGGCTAACCCTCCCATCTTGGTGTCATCTGAAGATTGGATGAGCATCCCCTCAATGCCTTCATCTAAGTTGTTTATAAAGACATTGAACAACAATGGGTCCAGGACGGAGGCCTGTGGCACTCCACTTATCAATTTCCCCCAAGTTGATGAGGACCCATTAGCGAGCGCTCTTTGGGTTTGGTCAGTCAGCTAGCTGCAAATCCATCCAATACGTTCTGCCCTTCATCATCCTCTCCTCCACAAGTGGCCGTGAGATCTTGGGCCTGGGGCAATCTACGTAGAGGAGGAAGAACTTATGGATGAAGTGTGGGGAAATTTTGGCAAATTGTAGGGAATGAGGATTGGCAACAGTGCTGGGGATTTGAAGGAGCTATTATGGGTTGGGTAAAGTGTAATGTGTCACAATTTCGTGCTGAAGAAACAACGAACAAGCTAAGGGGAGTGGGAAACCAGCCAACCAACAGAGTGTCAGAGGGGCACTTGCCTGCAGGCAGAGTCTATATCCAGAGTCAGGTCCAGTCCTAGGATCGGACAACAGCAGTTCAAGTGGTCAGACGGTCCAGGAGTCAAGGAATCTGATGATCAAAGATCAAGAGGAGCAGATTATACTTGGGAACAGAAAAATTGTTGGCTTATTGTTATATTTTTCTTATGTGAACGAGCTTGCCTGCTAATATTCTGTAATATATTCCTCCATAGACTAGATATTACATAGAATGGTTCGCTTGTTTTTTAACAAAGAGTCTGTATATTATTGACTTTGATCTTAAGACCAATCTATTGGGGAATTCTTAATATGAAAGCTCTGTTTGTTAATGTTATATACCGTAATTGCCTCAATGGTCCTAAACATTAAGCTGGGATACTTGCCCACAAGAAAATTGCAATGACATTATTACTTTGCCAGTTTAAAAAAAAAATCTCATTCTGTCACTTTGCCCCAGTCCTAAGCACTATTTTATGTTTGTGTGTTTAGCTCAATCCTAAACATGTCTACTCCTTACTCAGAAGGAGGAGCCCACTAAGTTCAATAGGACTTACTTCCAAGTAAAAGCACAGTTGTCTGGAAAGTTGTCCT